AAAAGAAAATGAAAGTATATAGGTCACATAAACTTCAGTGAAGAGGCAGTTATTGTTGGGAATGTTTTTGTTCCTTTAAAGTGTTACTAAACCCACAACAGTAAAATCAGCCTGTACATGCAGTAAAGCATGTTTGTTATACTCACCATGGAACCTAAAGAGTTAATACTCTGCATTGTGTAAAAGGCTATTTTATCCCATCTTCCCTGATCCTCCCCTTTTTTCACAGTCCCCGATCTATCTGTTGATAGAACAGAGCCTTGGGGACAAGCTGCACCTGCTCAGTTTGGTGTGTATTACTAGAGAGTTTTTTTTGGGGGGTGAGAGGGTGCGTATGATCAGCACAGGGCCAATCAGTGCTGTCCAGACAGAGGGCAAGGGGTCCTGTAGCCTCATAGGACAATCAGGGGAGGATTAAAACTCCTCCTGCAAGCTATAACCAGTGTTCTGCTGGATACTGATAGAAGTCACAAAACTGCTCTAACTGCTGATGAGAAAAGGAGACCAGATATAGTGAATGCAGGGTCATGGGTTTGGTAACACTTTAATCCTATTCATATGATGAGCAAATCTGTGTACCTTGGGAAATGTTATTTGAAGAAAAAAAAAAAAATAAATATATATATATATATATATATATATATATATATATACATATTCTAGATAAAGATATATAGCATGTAGTATATTTAACATAGACTTGCATCCAAATAAAATGTAATAGCACAGACATTGTTTTTTTTTTTAATTTTACATGTATTTTGTAGCTGCAAACTTCCAAAGCAGGGGTTCCACAATGTAACATACTAAAAGACATATGACAATCAAGTGTCCACCTAGACAGTTAGCAAAGATATGTTTGAACTGTCGACCTACAAGCTATCACTTGACAAGTTAAAACACAGTGGGTCACTTAAAATAACAAGGTTAGATAAACAATTAAATTGGAGCATGGTGAGTGAGAAAGTGGGATAAATAGTCATTAGTAATTGCAATTATCATTGAAGTATAGTGTCATACAAAAAAAAAGGATTGCAGTAGTAAAGTTTGTAATGTGTCTCTAAACCCCAGAATCAAAATGTGATATATTGCAGCCTTAGATGTGTTGGTTGTTTTTATTTTCCCTTTTTCAGCCTTTAGTCTCTTTATTCTCACTTTGTGATACTACCAGTAACATATTTTGTGTCCTAGGGTGACAATGCGCAGTGTACAGTGTACTACTGTTTGTCTGGAGAAGAAGCATTGTCACCCCAGGACAAGACTAATGAACATGAAATGTATTTATTACATGTACTTATATAGTGCAATAAATTTATGCAGTGCTTTACATATGTATTGTACCTTCACATCAGTCCCTGCCCTAAAGGAGCGTACAATCTAAGGTCCCTAACTCACATTCATACAACCCCTGGCAAAAAGTATGCAATCACCACTCTTGGAAAATGTTAATTCAATTTTTGTAATTGTTTAGAAAAAAAACTAAGCACAGACATGCCTCAAAACTATTTTCATTTAACATTCCAACCTTCTGGCTTTAAGAAAAATATTGAAAAATAAAAAATGAAGAAAACTGTAGTCAGTTGCAACTGTTTTTGCAGAGGAAAAAAAATATGGAATCACTCAATTCTGAGGAAACTATTATGGAATCATGGAAAAAACCCACTACAGTACACCACTAGTTCTTTGTTGTACCACCTCTGGCTTTTTTAGCAGCTTGAATTCTCTGAGGCTCGACAAAACAGTATTCTTCATCAATCTAGCTCCAACTTTCTCTTATTGCAGTTACCAAATCAGCTTTGCAGGTTGGAGCCTTGTCATGGACCATTTTCTTTAATTTCCACCATAGATTTTCAATTGGATTGAGCTCCGGATTATTTGCTGGCCATGCCATTGACATTATATGTTTTTCTTGAAGGAAAGTTTTCACAGTTTTGCCCTATGGCAAGATGCATTATCATCCTGACTAGAGATGAGCGAATCGAACTTGGCGAAGTGGAATTCGTTTCGAATATTAGGAAAAATTCGATTCGCACCGAATCCGAATTTTAGCAAACTTCGGATGCACGAATCGAATTTTCCCCGATCAGCCGACAAAAAGTGTCACTGCAGAGAGCTCCGCTATTTCTGACAGTTCTCTGACAGTTCCTTCACATTTACAGCGGTTGAAACATTGTATCTATTTGTTTCCATTTAGGATACAGATGTTTTTTATTCGGAAATAAATAGATACAATGTTTCAACCGCTGTAAATGTGAAGGAACGGTCAGAGAACTGTCAGAAATAGCGGAGCTCTCTGCAGATACACTTTTTGCTGTACTGGAATTCTTCTTCTTTTCATTCTTCTTCTTCTTTTCATTCTTCTTCTTCTTCTTTTCATTCTTCTTCTTTTTCTTTTCATTCTTCTTTTCATTCTTCTTCTTCTTCTTTTCATTCTTCTTCTTCTTCTTTTCATTCTTCTTTTCTTCTTCTTCTTTTCATTCTTCTTCTTCATTCTTCTTCAGTCTTCATTCTTCTTCTTCTTTTCATTCTTCTTTTCATTCTTCTTCTTTTCATTCTTCTCCTTCTTCTTTTCATTCTTCTTTTCATTCTTCTTCTCATTCTTCTTTTCATTCTTCTTCTCATTCTTCTTTTCATTCTTCTTCTTCTTCTTTTCATTCTTCTTTTCATTCTTCTTTTCATTCCTCTTCTTCTTCTTCTTTTCATTCTTCTTCTTCTTTTTTTCATTCTTCTTTTCATTCTTCTTCTCATTCTTCTTCTCATTCTTCTTCTTCTTCTTTTCATTCTTCTTCTTTTCATTCTTCTTCTCTTCTTCTTTTCATTCTTCTTTTCATTCTTCTTTTCATTCTTCTTCATTCTTCTTTTCATTCTTCTTCTTCTTCTTTTTTCTTTCTTCTTCTTTTCTTTTCATTCTTCTTCTTCTTTTCATTCTTCTTTTCATTCTTCTTTTCATTCTTCTTCTTCTTCTTCTTCGTCGTGCCCCGTGACTGCCCAAATGAGTGAAGTGTGCGGTGATTCTAAGATCGACGGCACTCATCTGCATGTCATACTGACTGATAGTATTATTTCTCTTCCCCAGCAGACTCCAAGGGCATTTAAATTAAAGGTACAGTGTTCTGCACTAATATAAAGGCTCTCTGAAGCCTAGAAACCCTTTTAATAAGTTAAATTCGCAGCGAATAAATTCGCATCGAATCAAATTTCTCCCGCAAATTCGGCGAAGCAGCCGAATCGAATTTTTGAATAATTCGCTCATCTCTAATCCTGACAACACCAGAAATCTTAAGCGACATAGTCGTGCACTGGAGCGATTGTGGTATATAAAACCAAATCTCAGCAAGCTTTCACCCAATATAAATCTGCTTTCTTAACAAGCCTACTTGGTCACTGTCATCAATAGCTTCTCATCCAGTCCTCGTTGTCTCTTCTCTACTTTTAACTACCTACTTTCTCCACATCCATCTCCACCCAGTACCTCACTCACTGCTCACGAGATTGCAAATAATTTCAAAAACAAGATTGAAGCAATTCGTAGGGACATTTCCACTGCACAGATATCCATCCTACCTAGCATACCTTATACTAAACCTCCCTCATCACTTTCCTCTTTTGATCTTTTGACCAGAAGAGGTCACTAAGGTTTTCTCAGAAGCCCGTCTCTCACTACCTGCCCCCTGGATCCTGTTCCCTCACAACTACTACGGTCACCCTCTTCTTCTCTGCTATGCTCCCTCACTCACATCTTCAATCTCTCCCTCTCTAACGGTGCCTTCCCCATCCCTCTAAAGCATGTACACATCACTCCCATACTTAAAAAGCCATCATTGGACCCCACAAACCTGAACAACCTAAGACTCATCTCCCTGCTTCCATTTACCTCAAAACTCTTAGAATGCTTAGTCTACAATTGCCTGTGCTCCTTCCTCACTGACAACAACCTTCTTGATCCTTTACAGTCTGGCTTTTGCTTACTACACTCCACAGAAGCTGCCCTACTAAAACTCACTAATGATTTACTAATTGCTAAAACCAATGGCCACTACTCCATACTCTTACTACTTGACCTCTCTGCAGCTTTTGATACTGCCAACCATCCCCTCCTCCTCAAAAAACTCCACTCTCTTGGCCTCCGAGACTTTCCTGGTTCTCCTCCTACCTATCACAGTGCTCCTTCAGCATTACCTATAACTCTGCCTCCTCCACTCAACTATGCTGATGACACACAAATCTATCTTTCTACTCCTCACCTCACCCCTTCAGTCTCCTCTTGCATTACTAACCCACTAAGTGACATATCGGCATGGATGTCACTCCACTTACTCAAACTCAATCTTTCCAAAACTGAGCTCATACTATTTCCTCCAGCCCCTGCTCCCTCCCCTGACTTCTCCATAAAGATCAATAATATGACCATTAGTCCCTCCCCTCATGCCAGGGCACTAGGTGTAATCCTAGACACCCATCTGTCCTTTCAGCCCCAAATCCATTCGCTATCCAAATCTCGTAGACTTCACTTCCGCAACATCTCCAATATACCTTCTTAACCTCTGAAACTACTAAGCAACTTATTCACTCCCTGGTTATCTCTCGCCTTGACTATTGTAACTCCCTCCTCATTGGCTTACCTCATCGCAAGCTTTTATTGCAGCATTCTACAGCTAATGCTACTGGTGTTTTTTATAACATCCAGTGTGCATGAGGCCTTAGGCCAGGGGTCCTCAAACTTTTTAAACAGGGAGCCAGTTTAATGTCCCTCAGTCCGTTGGAGGGCCAGACTATAGTTTTAAAAAAAAAACTATGAACAAATGCGGACACAGTACAGGAGATGACCAGAGACTGTGGACAAAGTACATGAGATGAGCAGAGACTGCGGCAGTGGTGTATTTTGGTTTTGTGCTGCCCTAGGCAAGACTAAAATCGGGCACCCCCTGCATCTAAATTTGTCCCACTCTTTCATCTGCAAACTCCACTCCTTCCTCTTTAGACTCCACCTCTTCATATTAGAGCTCCGCCCACTGACACAGATGGAGCGCTATTCCTCCCACTGACACCAATAATGGGGTACGATTCCTCCCACTGGCACTAATGATGGGGCACTAAACCTCCCACTGACACCAATGATGGGGGACTATTCCTCCCACTGATACCAATGATGGGGCACTATTCCTCCCACTGACAACAGTGATGGGGCACTATTCCTCCCACTGACACCAATGACGGGGCACTATTCCTCCCTCTGACACCAGTGATGGGGCACTATTCTTCACACTGACACCAATGATGGGGCACGATTCCTCCCACTGACACCAATGATGGGGCACTATTCCTCCCACAGACACCAATGATGGTGCCCCATCATTAGTGTCAGTGTGTGAGGAATAGTGCCCCATCATTGGTATCACTGGGAGGAATCGTACCCCATCATTGGTGTCAGTGGGAGGAATAGTGTCCCATAATTGTGTCAGTGGGAGGAATAGTGCCCTGCCATTGGTGTCAGTGGGAGGCCCAGAGGCATAGTGCCCCATCATTGGTGTCAGTGAAATAGTGCCCCATCATTGGTGTCAGTGGGAGGAAAAGTGCCCCCTCATTGGTGTCAGTGGGAGGAAAAGTGCCCCCTCATTGGTGTCAAAAAAGTACCCTATCATTGGTGTCAGTGGGAGGAATAGTAACCCATAATTGGTGTCAGTGGGAGGAATAGCGCCCCGTCATTGGTGTCAGTGGGAGGCCCGGAGGCATAGTGCCCCATCATTGGTGTCAGTGAAATAGTGCCCCATCATTTGTGTCAGTAGGAGGAATAGTGTCCCATAATTGGTGTCAGTGGGAGGAATAGTGCCCCATCATTGGTGTCAGTGGGAGGCCTGGAGGCATAGTGCCCCATCATTGGTGTCAGTGAAATAGTGCCCCATCATTGGTGTCAGTGGGAGGGGAAAAGTGCCCCATCATTGGTGTCAGTGACACCAATGAGGGGGCACTATTACTCCCATTGACACCAATTATACTTACATCGCCGTGCCACCCCCCTGAAAGTGCCACCCTAGGCAAATGCCTTGTTTTCCTCGTGGCAAATACACCCCTGGGACAAGTGAGGGGCAGTGGGACAGGAGGAGCTCAGTGGGACAAGTGAGGGGCAGGTTGACAGGGGGCATGGGACAGTATCGGGGCAGCTGGACAGGAGAAGTGCAGTGGGACAGGAGAAGTGCAGAGGGACAGGTGGGGGGCATTGGGACAGGAGAAGTGCAGAGGGACAGGTGGGGGGCAGCAGGACAGGAGGAGCGCAAAGGGACAGGTGAGGGGCAGTGGGACAGGAGGAGCACAGTAGGGACAGGTGAGGGGCAGTGGGACCAGAGGAGCACAGTGGGAAAGGTGAGGGGCAGTGGGACAGGAGAAGGAGCACAGAGGGACAGGAGGAGCACAGAAGGATAGGTGAGGGGGCAGTGGGAAAGGTGAGGGGCAGTGGGACAGGAGGAGTGAAGTGGGAAAGGGGAGGGGGCAGTGGGACAGGGGAAGGAGCACAGAGGGACAGGAGGGGCGCAGAAGGATAGGTGAGGGGCAGTGGGACAGGCGAGGGGGCAGTGGGACAGGAGGAGCGCAGAAGGATAGGTGGGGGGCAGTGGGACAGGTGAGGGGCAGTGGGACAGGAGGTGAGCAGTGGGACAGGTGAGGGGCAGTGGGACAGGAGGAGTGCAGAGGGACAGATGGGGGGCTGCGTGATGGGAGGGCATGGGACAGGATTAGGGCAGCGGGACAGGAGTAGCGCAGTGGGACAGGATCAGGGCAGTGGAACAGGAGGCGTGCAGCAGTGGGACAGGAGGCGTGCAGTGGGACAGGTGAGGGGCAGTGGGACAGGAGGAGTGCAGTGGAACAGGTGAGGGGCAGTGGGACAGGAGGAGCGCGCAGTGGGACAGGTGAGGGGCAGTGGGACAGGAGAAGGAGCACAGAGGGACAGGAGGAGCGCAGAAGGATATGTAAGGGGCAGTGGGACAGGAAGAGCGCAGAGGGATAGGTGGCGGGCAGTGTGACAGGGGGTGTCAGGAATGGACTGGCCAGCAATAGTGGGACTCATCTGCCTTATGAGCTGCAGTACCAGGGCTGGCCAGCGGGTGCTCCCAGCAATCAGAGACTCAACCTTGCAGCCAGTCAAACACCTGGAACTAATTATACTGGTGTATTTAAGGGACATTCAGACTTGCAGACTCGGCCTTGGTGTTGTGTTTTTCCTGGGCCCTGTATCTTGTTCCTGCATCCTGCTCCTGCTCCTGCTCCTGTCCTGTTCCTGTCTTGTTGCTGACCCGGCTTGATTCTGACCTCTGCTGACTTCTCCTGTTCTGATCCCTGGCTTGTGACCCCGACCATTCTCTGCCTGACCCCCTGTACCTACCTGCCTGTTAGTTGCTGTACCCTGCTCGTGACCTGACTATTCTCCGCTTGCTCCCCCTGTACCTACCTGCCCGATTGATATTGACCCGGCCTGCCTGACGACGCTTGCACTGTATGTACTGTTATCTGTGGGTGGTTTGGTTCGTTTGCACTGTGTTATGTTTTAGTATTGCACTGCGTTTATGTTTGTATTGTTAGTGTTAATAAATTGTTTATAACTTATCTGAAGTCTGCGTTTCCCTGCGTCAGTCACACACCTCTGGTCATACCCGGGAGCCCTGACATTACACCAAGGCCAATCCTGACCAGAAGTGGCTGCACAGGGAAGCCATCTTGGTTTGTTGATGGGAAGGATGGATCTGGATGAGGTTGCGTATTTATATCTGCTAGTGTTTGATGACAGGGAGTATGCTTATCAAACTCTGAAGGAGTATACCCGGGATGAACTGCTAGAATGTATACGGCTCGCTCATGTTCTAGTAGATCAGGGCATAGAGTTCTCTGAGGTGCAGACTTTGATTGAGGTTTGTGCGGAGTTGGTTTCATCTGGTACCCCCGAATGCAGGGATGAATTTTTGCCACCATTTAGTGCAGACCAGGTAGAGTCCCTGGTATGGTTATTAGAGGATGATGTGGATTGCTTTCTGGAATGTTATTCCACATGTTCACCACAGGTACTAAGAGATTGTATAAACGCAGTGCAGTCTTTGGTCAGACAGGCTTTGTGTAAGCTCAGCTTTGTTCAACCCATACTGCAGACATGGACAGATTTGTTACACCCAGCCTCAGTCAGCTTACAAAGACCCAGTCCTGCTTCTAATCTATCTCCTCAAAGCTCTACTCCTCTATTCCCCAACAGCTCCTCCAGTTACAGCCCAGTATACTTGGCTATCTACCGCATGTCAGTACCCTGTTCCCACTCGCTGCACCTATCCTGCCTTTAACCCTGTAAAGAAGCCCTCTGTAGCGACTGTTCCTTCCCCTGTTCCATCCTCCAGCTCTTCTCTGTCTCCAGCTGCTCCATTCATTTGCAGACCTGCGTTTACTTGCAGTGCCCCAGTAGTTAAAACCAGAAAAAAGCGAAAATTCTTTCCAACCAATACCATCCTGCCAGTATCCAAACCGTGAGCCTGCCGTCTGAGAACCTGCCTTCCGTGGTTCAGCCTGATGCCTCTCTTCAGCCTGATGCCTCTCTTCAGCTTGATGCCTCTACTCAGCCTGATGCCTGTACTCAGCCTGAAGCCTCTACTCAGCCTGAAGCCTCTACTCAGCCTGAAGCCTCTACTCAGCCTGAAGCCTCTACTCAGCCGATGCCTCTCTTCAGCCTGATGCCTCTCTTCAGCCTGATGCCTCTCTTCAGCCTGAAGCCTCTACTCAGCCTGAAGCCTCTACTCAGCCGGATGCCTACTCAGCCGGATGCCTACCCAGCATAATGAACTGATCCAGCCTGATGATCCTATTAGGCCAGTTGACTCGATGCCTGCTGTTGATCCAGATGATCCGGTACCTGATCCGGTGCCCGCTGTCCGTGCCAATTGACTCAGAGCCCGCTGTCGTACCTGGTGACTCGGTGCCCACTGCCCTGCCAGACGACTCGGTGCCTGCAGTCTTGCCAGACGACTCTGTGCCCGCAGTCTTGCCAGATGACTCGGTGCCCGCAGTCTTGCCAGACGACTCGGTGCCCGCAGTTCTGCCAGTTGACTCGATGCCCGCTGTTCCGCCAGTTGACTCGGTGCCCGCAGTCTTGCCAGACGAACTCGGTGCCCGCAGTCTTGCCGCAGACCGCCACTCGGTGCCCGCAGTTTCGCCAGACGACTCGGTGCCCTCGATTGCCAGACGACTCGGTGCCCGCAGTCCGCCAGTTGACTCGATGCCCGCTGTTCACGCCCAGATGACTCGGTGCCCGCAGTCTTGCCAGACGACTCGGTGCCCGCAGTCTTGCCAGACAACTCGGTGCCCGCTGTTCCGCCCAGTTGACTCGTGGTGCCCGATGCCCCAACTCGCTTGCCCCACCCAGAAACGACGACCCGGTGCCCGCAGTCTTGCCAGACGACTCGGTGCCCGCAGTCTTGCCAGATGACTCGGTGCCCGCAGTCTTTCCGCCAGACGACTCGGTGCCCGCAGTCTTGCCAGACGACTCGGTGCCCGCAGTCTTGCCAGACGACTCGGTGCCCGCGCAGTTCCGCCAGTTGACTCGATGCCCGCTGTTCCGCCAGTTGACTCGGTGCCCGCAGTCTTGCCAGACGACTCGGTGCCCGCAGTCTTCGCCAGACGACTTGTGCCCGCAGTCTTGCCAGACGACTCGGTGCCCGCAGTTCCAGCCAGTTGACTCGATGCCCGCAGTTCCGCCAGTTTGCATGACTCGGTGCCCGCAGTCTTCCTGCCAGACGACTCGGTGCCCGCAGTCTTGCCAGACGACTCGGTGCCCGCAGTCTCTTGCCAGACGACTCGGTGCCCGCAGTCTTGCCAACGAAGGTGACCGGTTGTTTGCCGCCAGTTGACTCGATGCCCGCTGTTCCGCCAGACGACTCGGTGCCCGCAGTCTTGCCAGACAACGACTCGGTGCCCGCAGTCTTGCCAGACGACTCGGTGTTGCCCGCTGTTCCGCCAGTTGACTCGATGCCCGCTGTTCCCCCAGACGACGACTCCGTGCCCGCAGTCTTGCCAGACGACTCGGTGCCCGCAGTCTTTGCCAGACGACTCGGTGCCCGCAGTCTTGCCAGATGACTCGGTGCCCGCAGTCTTGCCAGACGACTCGGTGCCCGCTGTTCATGCCGCCAGTTGACTCTGATGCCCCGCTGTTCTTGCCAGACGACTCGGTGCCCGCAGTCTTGCCAGACGACTTGGTGCCGCAGCTTGTTAGACGACTCCGCCAGTTGACTCGATGCCCGCTGTCTCCGCCAGTTGACTCGGTGCCCGCAGTCTTGCCAGACGACTCGGTGCCCGCAGTCTTGCCTAGACGATTCGGTGCCCGCTGTTCCGCCAGTTGACTCGATGCCCGCTGTTCCACCAGACGACTCGGTGCCCGCAGTCTTGCCAGACGACTTGGTGCCCGCTGTCTTGCCAGACGACTCGGTGCCCGCAGTCTTGCCAGACGACTCGGTGCCCGCTGTCTTGCCAGACGACTCGGTGCCCGCAGTTCTCGCCAGTTGACTCGAATGCCCGCTGTTCTGCCAGTTGACTCGGTGCCCGCAGTCTTGCCAGACGACTCGGTGCCCGCAGTCTTGCCAGACGACTCGGTGCCTGCACGCTGAGTCTTGCCAGACGACTCGGTGCCCGCAGTCTTGCCAGAACGACTCGGTGCCCGCAGTCTTGCAGACGACCTCGGTGCCGCGACCCGGATTCCGCCAGTTGACTCGATGCCCGCAGTGTTGGCCGCCAGACGACTCGGTGCCCGCAGTCTTGCCAGACGACTCGGTGCCCGCGCAGTCTTGCCAGACGACTCGGTGCCCGCAGTCTTGCCAGACGACTCGGTGCCCGCAGTTCCGCCAGTTGACTCGATGCCCGCTGTTCCGCCAGACGACTCGGTGCCCGCAGTCTTGCCAGACCTGCCCGCAGACAACTCGGTGCCCGCTGTTCCGCCAGTTGACTCGATGCCCGCTGTTCCACCAGACAACTCGTGCCCGCAGTCTTGCCAGACGACTCGGTGCCCGCAGTCTTGCCAGACGACTCGGTGCCCACAGTCTTGCCAGATGACTCGGTGCCCGCAGTCTTGCCAGACGACTCGGTGCCCGCAGTTCCGCCAGTTGACTCGATGCCCGCTGTTCCGCCAGTTGACTCGGTGCCCGCAGTCTTGCCAGACGACTCGGTGCCCGCAGTCTTGCCAGATGACTCGGTGCCCGCAGTCTTGCCAGACGACTCGGTGCCCGCAGTTCCGCCAGTTGACTCGATGCCCGCTGTTCCACCAGTTGACTCGGTGCCCGCAGTCTTGCCAGATGACTCGTGCCCGCAGTCTTGCCAGACGACTCGGTGCCCGCAGTCTTGCCAGGCGACTCGGTGCCCGCAGTCTTGCCAGACGACTCGGTGCCCGCAGTCTTGCCAGACGACTCGGTGCCCGCAGTCTTGCCAGACGACTCGGTGCCCACTGTTCCGCCAGACGACTCGGTGCCCGCAGTCTTGCCAGACGACTCGGTGCCCGCAGTCTTGCCAGAACGACTCGGTGCCCGCAGTCTTGCCAGACGACTCAGTGCCCGCAGTCTTGCCAGACGACTCGGTGCCCGCAGTTCCGCCAGTTGACTCGATGCCCGCTGTTCCGCCAGTTGACTCGGTGCCCGCAGTCTTGCCAGACGACTCGGTGCCCGCAGTCTTGCCAGACGACTCGGTGCCCGCAGTTCCGCCAGTTGACTCGATGCCCGCTGTTCCGCCAGTTGACTCGGTGCCCGCAGTCTTGCCAGACGACTCGGTGCCCGCAGTCTTGCCAGACGACTCGGTGCCCGCAGTCTTGCCAGACGACTTGGTGCCCGCAGTTCCGCCAGTTGACTCGATGCCCGCAGTCTTGCCCAGACGACTTGGTGCCCACTGTCGTGCCTGGTGACTCGGTGCCCGCCAGCTCCGCCTGGGGGTCCGACGCCCGCTGCTCCACCAGCTGGGGGCCTGAGAGACTGTCGCTCCGCCTGGGAGCCTGAGACCTGTGCCCGCTCCGCCTGGGGGTCCGGCGCCCGCCGCTCCGCCTGGGGGTGCCCGATGCCTGTCGCCCCGCCTGGGGGCCCGATGCCTGTTGCCCCGACTTGGGGGCCCGATGCCTGTCGCTCCGCTTGGGGGCCCGATGCCTGTCGCCCCACCTGGGGGCCCAGTGCCTGTGTTGCCCCACCTGGGGGCCCGGTGTCTGCTGCTTCACCTGGTAATCTCCCGATGTGCCTCTGCCGGAGTCCAGCCCGATGTGCCTCTGCCCGGAGTCCAGCCCGATGTGCCTCTGCCCGGAGTCCAGCCCGATGTGCCTCTGCCCGGAGTCCAGCCCGATGTGCCTCTGCCCGGAGTCCAGCCCGATGTGCCTCTGCCGGAGTCCAGCCCGATGTGCCTCTGCCCCCAGTGTGCCGCTGCCCGGAGTGCCTGCCCGGAGTCCAGCCTGATGTGCCTCTGCCCGGAGTCCAGCCCGATGTGCCTCTGCCCGGAGTCCAGCCTGATGTGCCTCTGCCCGGAGTCCAGCCCGATGTGCCTCTGCCCGGAGTCCAGCCCGATGCGCCTCTGCCCGGAGTCCAGCCCGATGTGCCTCTGCCCGGAGTCCAGCCCGATGTGCCTCTGCCCGGTGTGCCCCTGCCCGGTGTGCCGCTGCCCGGAGTCCTGCCCGGTCTGCCAGTCTTTGATATCCTGCCAGTTACCAGACCCGGACGGGTGGAACTTTTTGCCCAGCTAGGACTGTTTGGAGCGTCCTGAGGCCGCTCCTTGAGGGGGGGGGTACTGTCAGGAATGGACTGGCCAGCAATAGTGGGACTCATCTGCCTTATGAGCTGCAGTACCAGGGCTGGCCAGCGGGTGCTCCCAGCAATCAGAGACTCAACCTTGCAGCCAGTCAAACACCTGGAACTAATTATACTGGTGTATTTAAGGGACATTCAGACTTGCAGACTCGGCCTTGGTGTTGTGTTTTTCCTGGGCCCTGTATCTTGTTCCTGCATCATCCTGCTCCTGCTCCTGCTCCTGTTCCTGTCTTGTTGCTGACCCCGGCTTGATTCTGACCTCTGCTGACTTCTCCTGTTCTGATCCCTGGCTTGTGACCCCGACCATTCTCTGCCTGACCCCCTGTACCTACCTGCCTGTTAGTTGCTGTACCCTGCTCGTGACCTGACTATTCTCCGCTTGCTCCCCCTGTACCTACCTGCCCGATTGATATTGACCCAGCCTGCCTGACGACGCTTGCACTGTATGTACTGTTATCTGTGGGTGGTTTGGTTCGTTTGCACTGTGTATGTTTTAGTATTGCACTGCGTTTATGTTTGTATTGTTAGTGTTAATAAATTGTTTAGAACTTATCTGAAGTCTGCGTTTCCCTGCGTCAGTCACACACCTCTCTGGTCATACCCGGGAGCCCTGACAGGGGGCATGGGACAGGATCGGGGCAGCTGGACAGGAGGAGCGCAGTGGGACAGGTGAGGGGCAGATGGACAGAAGGAGCACAGAAGGACACGTGTGGGGCAGATGGACAGGAGGAGCACAGAGGGACAGGTGGGGGGCAGTGGGGACAGATGGATAGTAGTGGGACAATGTCGGGGACAGGAGGGGGAAGTGGAACAGGTGTGGGGCAGGGTGACATGTGGCGGCAGTGTGATGGATGGGGGGCAATGGGATGGGGGAGGGAAGTAGAACAGGTGGGGGGTAGTGTATCAGGGGACAGTTAGACAGGACCGAGGGAGCACCAATCCTCCAAGCACTTACCTGTCCAGCAGCAGCTCCTCCAGATGGTGTCAAGATCATTCCAGGACAGGTGCCTGTGTCCCTTCTCCCCCTCAATCTGCGGTGGCAGATGCAAAGGAGCGGGCCAGCTCCGCCCCCCTGACCTCGTCCTCTTTTGCTTCCTCCTTCTGGCCTTCACCTGGATACCGGCACACTGACAGCGGGCCCCGCCCCTCACACGCTCCAAGCGCACTCCGGGGATCCACCCACCACTCCCGCTCTCCTCTGCAGCCGGTCCCTCAGCCATGGCAGCCCTGCCCATGTATCTTTCCCCACGGAAGTGTTCCCCCTGAAAAGTGCCGCCCTAGGCAAATGCCTAGGTTGCCTCGCGGCAAATACGCCCCTGGTCCCTTGCCTCGTAGAAGATATGCCCCTGCCCAGCGGGCTGGATAAATGTCCTCGGGCGGGTCGCATGTGGCCCACGGGCCGTAGTTTAAGGACCTCTGTCTTAGGCGATCTATGAAGACCTATCTCTTCAGGGAAGCCTATCCTGCCCTCAGCTAACAATGGAATCTTCTATTCCTCCTACCAGTCCATCCCCCACAGTTATTACCTTTTGTACCACTAGCCCCTCCCTCTTAGATTGAAAGCTCCAAGGACCCTTTTGTATTGAACTGCATTGTTGCTATATTGTCTCCCTTTATATTGTAAAAGTGCTGAGCAAACTGTTGGTGCTATATAAATCCTGTATAATAATAATAATTATCCTGAAAAATGATGTCATCATCACCAAACATCCTTTCAATTGATGGAATAAGAAAAGTGTCCAAAATTTCAATATAAACTTGTGTATTTATTGAAGAATTAATGACTATCATCTCCCCAGTACCTTTACCTGACATGCAACCCTATATCATCAATAGTTGTGGAAATTTGCATGTTTTCTTCAGGCAGTTGTCGTTATACATTTCATTGGAACGGCACCAAACAAAAGTTCCAACATCATCACCCTGCCCAATGGAGATTTGTGATTCATCACTGAATATCACTTTTCATCCATTCATCCACAGCAATGATTGCTTTTCATTAGTCCACTGTAACCTTGTGTTTTTCTGTTTAGGTGTTAATGATGGTTTTCGTTTGGCTTTTTTCCCATTTGTTCCTCATTTGTTTTGCATTTTCTGTTTTCAAGGGATATTGCTTTAAGATTTCTATTTTGACTCTTTGATACTCTACCTTTGTCTACCAGTACGCTTCCCTTTTACAACTTTCCTATTTGATTTGCACTTGGTCCAGATTTTAGACACATCTTTTGCTACATTCCATGATGATTTACCTTCTTGAAGAAAGTTTATAATCCTCTCCTTTGTTTCAACTGACATCTCTCGTGTTGGAGCCATGGTTCATGTCAATCAGCTTGGTGCAACAGCTCACCAATGTGTACAAGCACTGTTCTTTAACTGCAGGCTAATTAGCATATGGAATCTGATGCAGATTTTTGTTTTAGAACTGCAAAGTACATGGTAATTCCATAATATTTTTCCTCAGAATTTAGTGATTCCATATTTTTTCCTCTGCTTGATCTGAAAAAACAGTTGCAATTAACTACAGTTTTCTTTCTTTTTTAATATTTTTCTTAAAGCCAGAAGGTTGGAATGGTAAATGAAAATAGTTTTGAGGCATGTCTATGATTGGCTTTTTTTCTACACAATTGAATGAACATTTTCCAAGAGTGGTCATTCCATACTTTTTGGCAGGGGTTGTACATACACATACTAAGGCCAATTTAGACAGGAGCCACTTAATCTACCAGTATGTCTTTGGAGTGTGGGAGGAAACCAGAGTACCTAAAGGAAACCCATGCAGGAACAGGAAAAACCATGCAAACTCCATGCAGGTGGTGTCATGGTTGGGATTCAAACCAACTACCCTAGTGCTTCTAGTGAAGAGCGCTAACCACTTAGCTTTGTAGATTGACTTCTCTTCAACTACAGTGGCCACACATGGATTGAAATTTTGTCCCTGGTGAACAGGCCAAATTTAAATCCATCTATGGCCACCTTTAGTTAACCACTTGCCGACCAGCCACTGTAGAAATACGGTGGCAGGTTGGCACGGCTGGGCAAAACCACGTTTTAAAACACGCTTTTGCAAAACAGGTAGGGGGCGTGCACGAGGCGTGCCACCACCCTACCTGCGCCGCCGATTGGGACCGCGGGTGTCAGTCGCTGGGTCAGGGCCAGTCATTACCGGCTGTGTCCCGGCGATTAGCATGAATCACTGAGATAGAGCACAGCTGCAGTAGCTCTGCTTTCTGTCAGTCCCCTGTCCGCTCCTGACATGCTGATCCGGAGAGAAGAGTTTATCTCTCAGGTGTTCCCGTGCAATACACACCCCCGCTCCCTAGTAAAACACTCCCCTCACACAGTTAACCCTTTCAGTGAATAAAAAGTTAACCCCTTCCTCCCCAGTGCCATTAGTACAGTGTCAGTGGTTTTTTTTTTGCATTGATTACTGTTTTGGTGTCACTGGGGATGTCAGTGACCCCAAGGCAGTTCCCCCCAGTGTCAGAATGTCCACCGCAGTCCCGCCATAAGTCGCTGATCGCCGCCATAAGTCACTGATTGCTGCCATAAGTTGCTGATTGCCGCCATTATTAGTATAAAAAAAAAAAAAAATCCCAGTATCTTTCCCGCCATTTGTAAATGCTATAACTTTCACGTAAACCAATTAATTTACATGTATTGGTTTTTTTTTTAGCAAAGACATGTCTCAGAATGCATTTTGGCTGAAATTTATGACAAAATTTGATTTTTAAAATTTTTTACTGCACATGTTTTATAGCAAAAAGTCCAAAATATTGTTTTTTTTTTTTCTCAGAATTGTCAGCCTTTTTTTTTTATAGCGCAAAGAATAAAAAAACGCACAGGCGTTCAAATACCACAGAAAGAAAGCTCAATTTGTGGGAAAAAAAAGGACGTAAATGTAATTTAGGTGCAGTGTTGCATGACCGCGCAATTGTCAGTTAAAATAACGCAGCGCTGTAACACAAACCTCTTCTGTAACTGCTTCCTGACCACCCTATAGCAGAAATACTGCTACAGGGCGCCATGGGTGCGCAAAATCACATATATATATATATATATATATATATGTGATTCGCGCTCCCATGGTTTTCACGCCCCTCACAGATAGCGTCAGATTGCCCGTCAGTACACCAGTCATCACATTTAACCTCTTGATTGCCAGGAGCACGCTCATGTACAATAAACCTCCATTGCTAGTATAGTGTCTGAACTAATCAATATCTTTGATCAGATCAGCACTATACCAGCGTTCACATTAGTATAGTGTCCCCAAAAACACAGCGTTAGCGGGATCAGTCCCGGCACCTGCCAGCACCTGCGTTTAGCCCCTACGCTTACCCCCCCCTTCTCCCCCAGCAAGTGCAGTGTCAGTAGGTCACTGTCACTTGATACATTGCACAGAAAACCACAGTGTTCGCAGAATCAGGCCTGATCTCTGTTAGCACTTGCCGGTAAATTTTGATGACTCTCATATGCAGCAGAGTGCCAGTACTAGTGCCGCTCTTCCTTTTGGTGAACTGGCGAGTACCAGCCGTCTAGTACATCCTGGTCTTTCACATACCTCCTTGATTTTTGGAGCTGTTTTTCACGGAATATCTGTATGCGTTGATTGTGGATCAAAGCAATTTATATGCACAACAATTTATCGCCGCCAACCCAAATTCAAACCTTGCCTGACCATTCGCATGGAAACTCATTACAGTTTTCAAATTTACATTTTTTTTTGGGCCTAACCCTCAACATGGGCATTAC